TCCAAACACCACTTGTTCAGTCACTCAGCTCAAGGATGTTACATTTGAGACTGGTCGGTAATTATTCAACTTTCCTGAGTCCAGGGTAGGTTTCTTTAAGAGTGGATGCACCAGTGCAAGTGACACAAAACTATTTAGGGTATTGAAAATCAAAGTGAAGAGCTCCAGGAGGATCTCCACAATTCAGGCAAGTGGGCAAGACTGTGAATTTCAGTGCTGGACTGTTGGTAAGCGTAAGGTGATGTACAATGGAACAAAATATCCCATCTTTAAGTATGTGCTAATAGGTTCTGAACTTGCTGAGACTGGGCGGGAAAGCGAATTTTAGATCATAGTGGATAGCTCAATGAAATCATGTTGCAGTACTGAAAAAATTAAACTCTGTGGTGGGATTTATTAGGAAAGGGATTGAACATAAAACAGGCAATATTATAAGGGCTCCTGTATGGATCTACGATGTGGCTTCATTTGGAATACTGGGTGCAGTTCTGGCCACTGTATCGCAAAAAGGACATTGCAGAGCTGGAAAAAATACAGAAGAGAGCAACCAAGATGATTGAGGAGTTGGAGCATATTTTCTATGGGGACAGGCTAAAGAGTCTGGGACTTTGCAGTTTAGAAAAGAGACAGCTAAGGAGGTACATGATAGAGGTTTATAAAAGATGCATGGGGTAGAGAGAGTGGACAGAGAACATGTTGAGAGCCAGTTTGGTGTAGTGGTTAAGTGTGCGGACTCTAATCTGGGAGAACCGGGTTTGATTCCCCACTCCTCCACTTGCACCTGCTGATGTGACCTTGGGTCAGTCATAAGCTCTGGCACAGCTGTCCTTGAAAAAGAGCAGTTTGTTTCAGAGTTCTCTCAGCCCCACCCACCTCACAGGGTGTCTGTTGTGGGGAGGGGAAGGGAAAGGAGTTTGTAAGCTGCTCTGAGACTCCAAGTGAAGGGCGGGGTATAAATCCCTCCTCCTCCTCCTCCTCCTCCTCCTCCTCCTCCGCATCCAGTGTAGCTGATAGGCAGTAGATTCAGGATGGACAAAAAGAAATACTACTTTATTCAGCAAGTGTATGTCAGAAAATGTAGTGATGGCCACAGGTACAGATGATTTTAAAAGGAGATTCGATTCAGGGAGGATAGGTTTATGAGTAGCTTATTAGCCATGGTGATTAAAGAGAGCCTACACATTCAGAGGCAGTAAACCTCTGGAAACCAGGGCCAGAAGGCAACATCGCCTCAGCCTGTATGCCCTATTGTTGGCCTTCCAGAGTAATTGACTGGCTGCTGTGAATTAACATGCTGTATATTGAACACTGGTCTGATCCAGCAGGGCTCTTTTAAGTTCCTCCCTAGCCTAAGACAGATTTCATAGTTGAGTTTCCCTTTTTATATCCCATATCCAGCCTTGCTGTGGTGCAAGTGGCAGAAACTCATCTTGCAGCTCTTTAACTATTCCGCTTTCTGGAACCTGGGTAGAATATCAGCAGGGTTAGGAGCTGCAGTGTATGTCTTCTCCCACCCAGGCCGAGAGTATCTCATCATATTGTTTTCCTGTTATGGGTTGCAAGCCACCACCGTAACCACTGGGGGTGAGGGAATCTCCTGCCTTCATCTCCTGTTGTCTACCGCTGCTCCAGCAGCTGGTAAGAGAAAAAATATTAAAAATTACTGTTGGCATCATGATGATATATCATTTCCAGGGAAAAACAGAAAGTGACATTATGCTGCTCTAGGAATTGTAAGAAACTCTGTGATTTTACAAGAGTTTCTGGCAATTCCTAGAGTGGCATGACCTGTGTTTGACCAGGAAGTGACATAACATCGTTGTGCCAACAGCAGTGTCCAGGCTCCTGCCAGTTGCCGGCTGCTGGCTGGAAACCCTATCTCAGATGCTTCCATGAAGAGGTTAGAAAGGGCTACAAAGCGCAAAAGAAAATAGGTAGATTTTTCTGAGTGGGCTGCAAATAAGAAAAGGCCTTGTCTGCTTTTCAGAACCAGTACAATTGTTGCAAGACATTACCTGCAAATTTTCAAGGGGTTGCAGCAAGCCCACATTTTCTGCTCTGGGTCATTTATTGATTTATTAAATTTCTCCCCCGCCCTTCCAGCCAAGGCCGGCTCAGGGCAGCTTACATAAGATCAACACATAGTTTACAATAAAACATAACATCTAAATTAAATTAAAACAATTCTAAAATAATTTAGACCACACAGTATAGTAAAGTGCTAGTGACCTTAATTTTGTAATGGCTGCTGTTGTTCAGTTCTCTCTTCTCATAGTCGGTTCTTCGGTCCTCTTTAGTTCTCTTTCTGGTGGCTTGCTCAGGCTGTTGTTAGAATTCCAAGAGAAAAAACAGGGCTCCCTACTCTTCGGCTTTCAGTTCTTAACGGTAGTGGCAGCTCCAAAAGCCTGGTGGAAGAGCTCCGTTTTACAAGCCCTGCGGAACTGTAAAAGGTCCTGCAGGGCCCTGATTTCTTCTGGGAGCTCATTCCACCAGAGGGGAGCTGCCACTGAGAAAGCCCTGGCCCTGGTTACTGCAAGCCTGGCCTCCTTAAGACCCAGGAGGGCCAGTCGGTTCTGGGGGCCCTGATCACAGTGCTCTCTGGGGTACATGTGGGGAAAGGTGGTCCCTCAAGTATGTTGGACCCTGACCATATAGGGCTTTAAAGGTGAGAACCAGCACCTTGAAGCAAATCCGGTATGCTATGGGCAGCCAGTGCAGTGCCTTTAGCAAAAGCTGAATGTGCTCCCAAGTAGGGAGTCCCATCAGCAGCCTGGCTGTGGCATTTTACACCAGCTGCAGCTTCCAGATTTGAGACAAGGGCAGCCCCATGTAGAGAGCATTATAGTAGTCCAATCTCGAGGTGACCATTGCATGAATCACTGTTGCCAAGTCATTGCGTTTGAGGAAGGGAACTAATTGCCTGATCAGCCGATGATGATGATGATGATGATGATGATGATGATGATGATGATGATGATGATGATGATGATGATGATAATAATAATAATATCTTTCGATTTATTAATCACTCAACCCTGCAGAGCTGCTGGCTCTGAGCGATTTACAGTTACACATATTCACAAGGGACTAACAATGATTCATAAGGGGTAAGGGAGGACAACATATAAATCTTTTAAGTCGTGCATGTTTGCAGCCAACGGGGATTTGGTTCAGCTGTAGACTTAGACGTGTTCCAGACGGCATTCACTCGGCTTAGCTTGATGACGTCAGTTTTTCCAGGACTGCTTCGAGTCGCAGCGTCGCACTGCCACCGCCTGGCCGGATTGGCCCATCGCAGGCTTCTTAATGCCAAAGAGATCTTTCCAGGCTTCCGAGCTTATGAGCTGGACATTCCATTTCGCCGGCTAACACCTCCCCCCACTGGGGGGGGGGGTTAGTGTGCCAACCCTTTCTAAGGAGTGGTACCCGTTTTATCTACTCGCCGAAGCTTTCGAACCACTGGGTGGACGGCGAGCTGGGGACAAGGCTGGTAGCTCACACCAGCATGGGCTAGAACTGACAGCAGTTCTGTTCAGATGTTTACTGTAACCAGAGGATAAATCCTCTGTGCCACTGATTTGGCAGTGGCTGCTACCTGGGCCTCCATTGTAAAGGAGGCATCTAGGAGCACTCCCGGACTCCTAACCTCCAGTGCTGGCACCAAAGGAGCCCCATCGAAAGTTTGAAGCGGGATCCCTACCCTCAGGCCACCTCGACTTAGGCACAGGACCTCCGTCTTCATTGGATTCAGTTTCAGATGGCTCAGCCTAAGCCAACCAGCCACGGCTTGTAATTCCAGGTCCAGATCTTCCAGTTTGGAGTCAGACTGGCTGCTCAACATCAGATAGAGCTGGGTGTCATCTGCATACTGGTGACATCCCAGTCCATGCCTCCGGGCAATCTGGGCAAGGGGGCGCATATAGATGTTATTGTCATTGCAATTGTTAGGCAGACTCCCCTTTTGCTGTTGAAAGGATCTTTTGAGGATGAAGAGAAATTGGCTCAGAGGGTGTTCACACATGTAGTTTTCATCATAGGCAGATTGACACCATTGATTCTTTCACCAGTGGAGGGGCAGCACTTGCAACAGAAAATTGGGTGCAGGACGCAAGCCTAGTTCTGTCCCCCTGAAATGTATGGTAATTTTATATATGCTTAACAGTGCCATCCTAAACAGTTGTACCCTTCTAAGCCTGTTGACGTCAACAGAAGGGTATAGTGGAGGGTGTAATAGAAGGGTGTCATTTTCCTGGGGTTGGCACTGTAGAAGTAGATATTTTTAAAAAGAGATCAGAATTATAGTAGAATGGAACAGTCCAGGAGGACACCTTTCTAATGGAGTTGAATAATAGTGTGCTGCAGTGGTTTTTGTAGTATCACCTGCCTTTGCTGTGTTGCCTTATACCTTGTAATCCTTTGATTTTGTTTGTATTATACTTTGCTTTAGCTAGATCCAGTTGGGTAAACCGTGTTGGTCTGAAACAGCAGAACAAAGTTTGAGTCCAGTGGGGCACCTTTAAGACCAACAAAGTTTTATTCACGGTATAAGCTTTCATGTGCATGTACACTTCTTCAGATACAGTCTGAAGATAGTTTAGATAGTTAGTTGTTAACTCTGTCGTCTAATTCTGTAATGTTAGCCCTATTGCATTGGTTTTTTATGCTGTCAGATTGCTCTGTTTCATATCCTGTAATCCATACTGAGTCCCAGCAAAAAAAAAAGGTGGGCTATAAGTAAACGAAATAAATAAACATTATAAATCAGGTAACAGTATTGTGCTAATAATGTATGATTCTATCTGTCCTCTGTGCTGCTAGGGATTAGCCAATGGGGTTTCGGTACAGAAGAGCCGCTAACGAAAATGCAAGGAAAGGGCTTTCCCAGCAGGTTTCTTGATAGAAGAGGAATAACTTCATAGATGACATCACAACTGAAAACTTAGATCTTCAAGAGCTGAAGCACCATTTAAGTGGAAGAGGATAAAAAGCCCTGGTCCAAAATGAGCTACAGCACATCCACTGTAAACAGTTTGTACCACAACAGTGCTACCACTTCTGAGCCAGACCATGGGACAGCTGTGGATGGGGCTGGATCAAAAACTGCTACAATGACCCCTGAAAGCAGCAGCTTTAACAGCACCAAAATTCCAGATGTGGCTAGCCATGGCCCAGGCATGGGGACCATGTTGCTCTCTTTTGGCATCATCACTGTGATTGGATTGGCTGTTGCAATGGTAAGGCATCATCTATCAATGGTTCCCACTGGAGAATAGAAAACTGCAAAGCTCAGGAGCTTCATTAGACTTTCAGACAGTGTACCCGTATACCAGCAGTTTGGTACCTCTTTGAGGATATTTCTAATAATTGGTTTTATGCCATTTTAACTGTCATGGTTTTCTCCAAAGAATCCTGGAGATTTTAGTTTGATAAAGGTGCTGACAGTTTTGGGTTAGAGAATCCTAGCCTACCCCTGATCTCCACAGCATTACCATATCCTAGGGAGAGAGAAATGGTTTTATATCTGATGCACTCTGAGGTGTAAATATACCATTGTACTTTAATGAGCAGTTTGTATCCAGCCTAGGCATGACATCAACATATATAAACATGTCAACTATATATCTAATACCGAAGTCGCCCCCTGCGTGTGGATACTTATTTCCACACATCGGGGGCACCTTGGGGGGAGGGAGATGTTTGTGCACACTTGGGGCAGTCCCCAGGTGTGCACAAAAATCTGAAACCTGTAAAAAAAATATCGGGGGGATACTTAAATCCCCTAAAAGTGACAGAGCGTCCCCTGTGCATGCGCAGGGAATGCTCTGCACCCGGCCTCGCCGCCGCCACCGCTTTGGAGCTGGGGGGGCAGCGTGCTTCGGGGGGGGGGAGACCAGCGAGGCCGGGGCGGCTGCTGCCCGGCCCTCACTTTGGAGGGGGGAGGGAGACCAGCGAGGCCGGGGGGAACTGGCGGGATGGGGAGAACTTACCTCCTCCTGCTGCTTCCTCCTCTTCCTCATAGGTGTGGAGCTCCCTCCCCCCCTCCCGTGAGTATCGCAGGTCCCGCCCCTTGTATATTCTAATAGCAAAGTCAGGATATCTTTGGATACTTAAATCCAGTGACTGGAGTTGCGAACGGGCAAGACGGATCTTTCTACAAACTTGAATATGGCCCTAGGTTTGCAGAAAAATGCAAAATCTTTAAAAAAAATACTGGGCAGCTTCAAAAAGCCAAAAATGATAAAAGAAGCACCTGTAGCTTTAAACAAGCAGATTCCCTCAGTGGCTGTTGCTAGGCAGTCAGAGTATTCCAAGCTTGGTAAAAGGCAGGGGAAGGGAGCAGGACCCTTTCCAGATCTATTATGTCATTTGAGGGAGGGATCCTTGGGTTTCTAGCTCCAGGTTGGGAAATTCCTAGACATTTTGTGGTAGAGTTGTGAGGAGGGCAGGGTTTGGGGAAGAAAGAAGCCTCAGCTGGATATAATACCACAGAGTCTATCCTCCAAAGCAGCCATTTTCTCCAAGGGGACAGATCTCTGTTGTCTAGAGTTCAGTAGTAATTCTGGGGAATCTCCAGTTCCCACCTGAAGGTTGGCAACTCTATGCTTTACATAGGACTACCCTTGAAACTGACCCAGAAGCTTCAGCTGGTACAAAATGCAGCGGTGCGGGTCCTTATGGGGACCCCATGGAGGGCACATATACACCCAGTGCTGCGCGAACTGCAATGGTTGCCGGTGGAGCACCGGATCAGATTCAAGGTTTTGGTGCTTACCTTCAAAGCCCTAAATGGTCAGGGACCTACATACCTTTGGGACTGCCTCTCCTGACAAGTCCCCCCAAGGGCATTAAGATCTGCAGATAAGAATCTTCTGTTGGTCCCCGGCCCCAAAGATATCCGGCTGACCTCGACCAGGGCCAGGGCCTGGTGGAATTCTCTGTCGAATGACATCCATGCCCTGCCCGACTTATTAAACTTTTGCAGGGCATGTAAGGCAGAGATGTTCCGACAGGCCTTTGATTGAGGCCAGGGATGGTTCCTTACATCTGCCTGGCACCCCACCTCCCCTCCATGACTAACTGCTAGAATTGCAATCTTGTTTTAAAATGTTTTCGACATTTAAATGTTTCTGAATGTTTTAAATACTGGAATTTTTATGGGTTTGATTGATTTTATAATGTATTGAATTAATTGTTGTAAACTGCCCTGAGCCACGCATGAGAGGGGATGGGTGGTTAAGAAATATAATTTAATAAATAAATAATAGGCCGGCAGCATTATCTGGGCTGCTTCACACTACCTGACTTGCATGACTCCACCCCCAAATCTCCAGGAATTTTCCTGCCTGGAACTGGCAACTAAGGGAGATTAATCTCTGTAACTGAGAGATCTGCTGTAATTCCTGGAGAGCTGCCACTGTGTGTGTGTGGGGGGGGAGAAAGCAGGTGGGCGGCAGAGACTGCTGCCACCACCACTGCTGCTGCTGTGGGAGGGTGGGGGTGGAGCAAGCAGGTGGGAGGCTGGGAGATTGATGGGGTAGAAAAAGCGAGTGATGGGGTGGAAGACAGAAAGAGAGAAAAAGTGATGAGGTGGGGAGGTAGAAAAACAGAGAGTTATGAGGGAGCAGAAGGAGAGGAAGTGACGTGGATGGAGAAGAGAGAAAGAGTAAGAAAAGGGGTGGCAGAAGGGAGAAAGAATGTGAGAGGTAAAGGAGAAAGGAAGAAGTAAAGGTGGGAGGAATGGGATAGCCACCCTGCAAGTTTTTTTTGCAGGGCCCGACTTGTCTATATATTAATAGCCAAGTTGGCCAAATGTTTGGATACTTAAATCCAGTGACAGGAGCTGTGAACGGACAAGACAGATCTTTCTACAAACCTGAAAAGGGTCTCAGGTTTACAGAAAAATGTGAAATCTAAAAAAAAATACATTGGTGGTTTTTGTTTTTAAAAGAGTGCCTGTAGCATTAAGCAATGAATTCTCTCACTGGCTGATGCTCGGTAACCATAGTATTCCTGGCTGGGTTTTGAGAGGAAAAAGACAGGGAGAGAGGGCCCAAAAATAGGTCCTTCCCAGACCTATTTTTGGCCTTGAGGAAGGACTCATTGGGCCCAGGCCTTAGGGTTGCCAGCTCCAGGTTGAGAAATTTCTAGAGATTTTGTGGTGGAGTCTGAGATGGGCAAGGCTTGGGGAGAGGAGAGGCATTAGCTATATATAAAGTCAGAGAATCCACCCTCCAAAGCAGCCATTTTCTCCAGGGAGACTGATCTGTGTGTCTGGAATTCAGTTGTAATTCTGGGAAATCTCCAGGTCCCACCAGGAGGGTGGCAACCCTAGGCCTGGAAACAACCTCTGGGTGATTTGGTACCATCTGACTTGCATGACTCAACTAGGCCTGGCTGCTTGCTACTCTTCAACAGCAGTCACCCTATGAAAGCCAGTGTGGTGTAGCAGCTAGAGCTTCAGAGAAGGGTCTAGGTGACCCAGGTTTGAATCCCTATCTTTCTGTGACAACTCAGTGGGTGATTTTGGGGCAGTCACATACTGTCAGCCTAACCTACCTCACCTCACTGATGAGAAGTGTACTGTTCTATGTATATGCTGACAATGTGTTTTTTCCTCTAGGTTCTGTATATAAGGAAGAGAAAACGGTAAGTGCTCATTGCTCTTGGGTAAAGCAGTGGTTTTCTCTTGCTACTTCCCCTTCCCCCCAGAAAATTGGTATTAAAAGCCTCCTCATTTAAGTAACAGAGATTGAACCAAGTCCAAAAATTCCACTTATTCTGATAGCAACAGAAATGATACCATATCTGCTCAGAGGGCTTAGCAATCATTTTAACTGACAGAGTGCTTTCAGTATTGAAAGAATTTTACACTCATTATCTTGTTGCCGTACTTACAACAGAGACAGATTTGATTGTTATTCCTGTAGAACACATGGTGGGGCTGAGGCTTGGTGACTGACTTCAGGTCAGTTGGTGAGTCTGTGACACAGGTAGCTGAAGCAGCAATGTCCCAGACCATAATATGTTGTCTTAGCCACTATAATATTTGAGTCCACAGATAAAGACTACCAGGATGAGGAATGGGTGGTGCATTAAAATGACTTTAATAGGAAGAGCGACTAAAACATCTTGTAAAGCAGTCCTTAAGCCTTGTCCTAGAGTTAAAGTCATGTGATCTTACAGCAAGTCCTCAAACTAACACTATTAAGTGTAAGGGAATATCTCCAAGTTATAAATTCTGTCACTGCAGTGCAGCCTCTGTGCTAAACCATCCATCTTCCCTAACTAGACTAGAGAAGTTACGACATCACCTCATGCCCATGTACAACTTGGAGCCTGCTGAAGAACAAGATGAGCTGGAGCAGGAGCTGCTGGAGCATGGCAGAGATGCCGCTTCCTTGCAGGCCTCCCAGAACAAGGTAATTCTGTTCCTTTGCTACATGAGGTGCCTGAGCACGAAAGCCTGCTCGACTCCAGAGTGGGAGGGTGGGGGGCTCTCTCTGCGCTCTTCCCTGCTGCAGCCGCGGTTGCTCTGCCGTGCTCTTTTTCAGAACACCTACAAGTGTATGACCAAAATCCATACTTTTATCTAAGCAATAAAGGATTGTTTGGAACAGCAGACCTTTTAATATATTTTTTTGAAAAAGTGTCTTCTAATGAATGCTCCATCCTATATATGTTTACTTGAAAGTAAGTCTTACAGGATTAAATGAGCTTTAGTTTTGATAAGCGTGTCTCAAGCCACAGACTCTGATGCTTGCAAAATCTATTGTGTAGTTTTGGAGGAAAATGTCCTGTCCCTTTAGCAGAGAATGAATGAGAAGTTATTTACCTCTGTGCCATGAACAGCTTCACCTGCCCATTTCTACACATTAAGCCTTTCTTAAAGGGACAGGACATTTTTCTCCAGACTGATTGGCAACCCCAACCTCTAGGGTACTGGCCAGTATGGAATCTTTTGTTTCTGGGTAAGGTAATTGAGAGAGTGGTGATGGAACAGCTCCAGAGTTTTCCATTCCAGTTTGGTTTCCGCCCCAGCCTTGGGACAGAGACAGCACTGGTTGCCCTCACAGACAATCTTTGTAAGCAGTTGGATCAGCATGGGATGGCGCTGCTGTTATTGCTCGATCTGACAGCAGTGTTCGACATGTTGACCATGATCTGTTGACCCACCGCCTCGCTGATGTAGGAATTTGTGGGACAGCCTTGAAGTGACTTGCCTCATTTCTCCAAGGTCAGGTACAGTGGGTGGCACTAGGAGAGAGGGTTTCACCACGATACCCTTTGGTATGTGGGGTCCTGCAGGGGCAATCCTCTCTCCAATGCTGTTTAGCATCTACATGCGCCCCCTCCCCCAGCTGGTATGGAGTTTCAGGCTGACTTGTCAATATGCAGATGACACCCAGTTGTATCTGCTGATCAGTGGCCAGCCAGACACCGCCCCAGCTATTCTGGCCAAGGGGCTGGAGGCCATGGTTGGATAGCTGAAACAGAGATGGCTGAGACTGAATCCATCTAAGACAGGGGTCCTTTGGCTGGTTAGGGAGGATTCAGGGTTGGGATGCCAGCTCCTGGCTCTTGAGAGTGTGCCTTTAACACTAGTGCCAACTATCAAGAGTGTGGGTATGTTTCTGGATTGATCGAGGCCCAGATCACAAATCCTGGCATTCTTTCAGTTACACCAGATTAGGCAACTAGTCTCCTTCCTGTCTTGCCCAGACCTAGCCACAGTGATCCATGCGACGGTCACCTCCAGAGTGGACTGCTGTAACTCGCTCTATGCAGGGCTACCCATTTGACTGACCCGGAAATTACAACTGGTCCAGAATGCAGTGGTAAGGGTTCTTACAGGTACCACATCGACAGCCCATATCCAACCAGTGGTTTGCCAGCTGCACTGGCTCCAGGTTGAATACCGAATCAGGTTCAAGATTCTGGTAGTAATCTTCAAGGCCCTAAATGGAACCAACATATCCTGCCTTGTGCAGGGGGTTGGACTTAGATGACCCTGGAGATCCCTTCTGACTCTATGATTCTATGATTCTCTATCGATGGAATCACCTCTCCTGGTATACCCCCCCCAAGAGTGTTACGCTCAGGAGAGAAGAGTTTCCTCAGAAGGTGGTGACTAGATGGCCATCTGACAGCAGTGCTGATTCTGTGAACTTAGGTAGATCATGAGAGGGAGGGCAGGGAAAGTTGTATCAGTGCTTAGTTCTTGTGGTTCTTTGTTACATACCCAGGGAAATGCTTATTGCCACTTTGGGGTCAGGCAGCAATTTTTCTCCAGGACAGTTTGGCTGGAGATCCTGGAGGTTTTTTGTTATCTTCTGGATGTGGAACAGCGGTCACTGGGGTGGGGGGGATGTATTTGTGAATTACCTGTATTGTGCAGGGAGCTGGACTAGATGACCCTGGAGGTCCCTTCCAACTCTATGATTCTATGATCTCTGGCCTTAAGAGTATCCAGCTGTCCTCAACCAGAGCCAGGGCTTTTTCAGCCCTGGTATCAACCTGTTGGCACTCTCTACCAAATGAGATCCATGCCCTGCGGGACCTAATGCAGTTCCGCAGGGCTTGCAAGACAGATGTTCTGCCAGGCTTATGGTCGAGGACAGCAATCAGTTTCCATCAAGCCTGGCTTCCCCCTTCCTTCCCCCCACCCGGTGAGAACACAGATTGGTGTGCCTCTATGCGCCATTTGTATGCTGTAACTTATTATTGAATTTTAAGGTCTTTTAAATTGTTTAATTGGATTGTAATGCTGTCCAACTAGAAATGTTGTCCCCCACTGTGAGCCCTGTTTCACAGGGGAGGGCGGGTTACAAATCGAACTTAATAGGGTGCCAATTTACATTGAGGAAAGGACATAGGAAGAAAGGGTTACTCCACCTCCATCCAGTGTTGTGGCTCCAATTGCAATCAGTAGGACCTATGTGCAAACAAATTTAAGATTGGATTTGAAACATTTCATTTTAAAAAATCAAGAAATATCAATAGTCCCTAAGGAGAACAGAAATGATAATGGATATAGTCATCAAGCCACTTATCCTGGAAGAATCTTAATAGGTTGTACTATTTTGATGGTCTTATGATGTTGCCTATCCTGATAGTACCTTCTTAAGCAGAGTTACTCCCTTATTTGACTTCAGCGAACTTACGAGGGTGTAATTCTGCTCAGGATTTCACAGAAGCAATGGTATAACATGAAGTAGTAACAATGTACTGAGCATAAGATTATATAAAGGGGAAGTTATACTGGATGTAACTCTCCTACAGTTTTATTTTAAAATTTAGGTTTTAAAAAGTGATATTGAAAAAGTATTTTGCACATGTTCAGAACTGATCTTTTCATTATTGCTTTGCTTGTTTCAAATTGAAACATGGTAGGAGAAAGGAGAGGTAAGAATCTTTAGGCAATGTAAGAATCTGGTTCCATTTTTTGTTTGTTTGTTTTTTGTCCTAGCCTTGTCATTCCCAGGATTTTTCCCAGACTAAGAGCACAACTATACAAGACATTGGAGGTTTGTCATAGGATCTCCTGTCTCTTTAAGCTTCTGTAAATAGTGGCTGCCAGTGATTCCCTGATTTCCCCACAAGAACAAAGAGGACCTCTAGGGGACAGTACAATGAGGAAAAAGCAGAGGGAGAAAGGGTTAACCTACCTTTACTCAGTGATGTAGCTCCAATCCCAATAATTCTACCTTTCCCCTTCCAGTAGTTGCTATTGAAAGAAATTTAGAAAGACTGGAGATCCAATCTTAGCTAGTTGTACCCTAATTCAATGAATGGTATGAATCCTGATAACACCAGAGAGAGGCATAGGGAGCAAGGCATGCACACATTCCTTGCAAATCTGCCTTTTCTCATTTCTCTCTGTTGTAGACAACCCAAGGAGTGCTCCAGAGACCTAGTCGCCTTGTGTTCACAGATGTTGCAAACGCTATCCATGCATGAACAGTTCTTCAGAAGAATGATGCCAACCACTCAGCAGCTTGCAATGGATGGTAACCACTTATTTCAGCTGTGAAAAGGCACCAGGAACCAGCATACTGCAAGAATTAAGACTGTTAGTGTGCCATCAAAATGCCCCACTCAGAGATGGATTGGTAATGTCAGTACCAAGCTGTGTAATGGAAAATGCAAGGTTATTGGTCGATAAATTGGTCAGAACACTGACAGTGACAGGCTAAAGTAGGGAACTGGGGCATCCATTTTCAAGGCCTTCTTCCCATAGGTGATTGTCAGAATATCCCAGTATCAGAATTCTGCAGGTTTAACCTAAGCCACTTTGTGCAGTAGTAGACTTCAAAGGTGACTCCTCATGCCAGTATATGTGATTGTAACTTCCTGGAGCTAGGAGCCTGGGCAGCTGCCTCTATTGTGTTGCCATAAGTATATGATATTGTCCCAGGGTATATATGAGCATGTGGGTTGTCCCACCTCATGGACCAGCTGTGTGTAATATGAACTGCCTGCAAACCATGTTCACGAGACACAGCATTTTCCTAGTCTTCCATTAGGCTTCTCCTGCACAGGTGCTCTGCAACCCTTAGAGACAGCTGTCTGAAGATCCATAGTGAGCAAAAGCATGCTCTTGTATATCCGAAGCACCACCTCTTCTGAATTCGGAATAGCACTTGCTGATGCTAGAGGGAGGAGAGTCTTAGAAGTAAGAGCAGCAATACAAATGGATTTTGAGTTAATCCATCTCCTCCCTCTTCAGCCAAAGACAGTGACATTTGTCGAAGAACAATCGTGTCTGGAAGAACATTGTGTGCACATGCATGTTCTGGCTTGAGCTAAACAATCAGAAAATCAGTTCACCATACAGTATGGTTATAAACCATACAGCCGCTTTCTAGGATCTGCATTTTTGTATTCCTTTCCATCACTTCTAAAATAGGCACGAAGCAGGGCAAAAGGTGCAGGACAATACTGCATTTTACATGTTTTCTAGTATCTTGAGGATCTAGTGCTAAAGAAAT